AAAATGTTTAGGATAACTGGTAATCATGATGCTTTTTCATGGAATATTTTCATTTAATGTACAAAGCTAGGAAAGAAATACATTTTCAGTAATTTCACAATCATATAAAATATTAGGGCTTCACAGAACAATAGCACTGCAACACTTTACTAATTATGAGTTCCAAGAATAGCTCAATATTTTTCCTGTTAGTTCCATTTTCAGAAGTCACATATTTGTTTTTTATTCCTTAAAAAGTAATTCTTTCTGGTTGCCTTCTGGATAAATACTGCATTTTGTTAAGTAATAGCATTTAAAAATCATCTGCTCAATTATTCTAATTATGTTACAAATGGAAGATTAATCAATGGTGAGTCCTTTCCACTTAAAATCATGTGTGTATTAATATTCCAGGTAGACAAATTATTTTGAAATTCAGAACCTAATTTATCCCATTCTGTTTCTTCTCCCATTTGGACACCAGATTTATAAGTGACCTTTGCATGCAAGTAGAAATATATAATGCATCAAGGTATAAACAATCACAAACTATCCAAATCTATGAGAAAAGACATGAAGTCTACTATCAGAATCAAATAATTACCTTCTAAATATTATATATTTAGGTATACTTAACATGCTCAGAAAAATCTTACATATTTAAAGTGATTAATGAAGGTAAATATAAAAGAGGCCTGAATATCTAGCATTTAGTCAAACTTTGGATTTCCAATCTTAATTTTTTTTCAAATGTGTCTGATTAATTATGTCTCTAGGTCTCAGAGTTTTATGCCACTAATTTCCCATTTGTGGTTTTCAGGAAAAAAATAAGGAAGATCAGAGAACTTTATTCCAACAGAGAAAGTTAGTGAAGCGCTCTAAAGAATAAACAGAAGATTGGCAGTAAGATATGGTCATAATTTTCTTGAAAATGCACATTAGTAAATAAGCTATTTAAATAATTTCAAATATCCACTTTTTTCTAACAATGCATCTATCAGAATCTCTCTGTACTTGTAATTTCTCAAGTAAAACTTCAATTTTTCTTACATCAAGGTGATGATCAAATATTTTCAACTGAATAATTTAGAAGACATAACTGGGAATTTTTTCAGTAAAGGATGAATATATCTATAAAAGTTTTATAATTTTTCTAAAGAAGGCTTCCAGAGATTATGAAAAGTATTAATTTTGTTTCCAATATTTAAGAAGTATATTTAAAATTAGTTTTATTAGTGTGAAGTTACCTATTTAAAAATATTCACGTATACCGGTTTTAATCTGATCTTCAGAATTCCAGATGAAGAATGGTAACATGATCTCTGCTTACATTGTTCATTATTGTGGGAAATCTCAGCTCTGCAAATTGCACAAAAGTGACAGTGGATCATTACAGACTCTTACTTTGTTTGCATTGTCCCTGTGGTTATGGAATCTCTGTAAATTCCAACAGCACAGCCACAATCCAAAAGTGTCAATAACCATTGCCTCTTCCAATTATCTTAGCTTATGAAGCAGAATTTCTAAAACTAAATGTTTAACCCTGACTTAGATATCCAATTATAATAACGAGTTTTCCTCATCCATTATATAAAGTCATATACACTGTATTTTTGAACCTTGATATAAAATATTCAAAATACCCGGCATTTTTGAGGTCAAATGGAAGTACAGACAATAATCATTCAAAAGCAGTATACATGCACATGTGCAAAAGAGATGCCTAATAAGTTAACAAAGACTGTGTTTTGGAATGTTTAATACTCTGAAAAATAACAGTGGCATATATTCTTTTAAGAAAACTGATAGTACCTTAGCTTTATTCATAGCATACAATGAAAACACTACAGGGGAGAATAAATTCTTTGAGAACAGAAATATAATAACGTATTGATAGGGCTGGGGATTTAGCTCAGTGGTTCTGGTGACTGCCTTGCAAGCTCAAGGACCTGAGTTTGATCCCCAGTACTAAAAAAACAAAACAAAACAAAACAAAAAATAATGTATTGATGTTTTAGGCCAGTGAAATTTCACTATGAGTTGCAAGATATCCCTCGAGTCAAGAATTGTGTTTTAGTCCCTTAGAAATACCTGTTCAAATAACTACATTTTATACAGCATTTCCCCAATCTTCCTTTATAAGTGACTAATATTACTTATTTTGACCAGCCCCCTTAATTTACACATGCATATGCATGCATAAATATGCAAAAGTACTAATGTAACTGGATTTTGATACCATGAATACCTATTTTCAAGTGTTCCACAGGAATACAAGCAGTGTAGGTGCTGCTCATCTCTAGTTTCTTCAGAAAAAAAAAAATTATAGTTTAATCACTTTTTAATTTATGTTTTATACATTCAAATCTGGCCTTCCTGCCTAGCAATTAGCTTTTTAATAGTATTTACCACTTAGCTAAATAGAGTATTACTGCCTGCTTCAATTTTCCATGCACGCTCTAACTGTTGTCATTACCTCAATAAGTAAATAGAACATTTTAAATGACACTTCTTAAACCTTCTTATAAATATTTGGTAATGGGCCCTTAGTATTACATCCATCAACACCTATTGGGAACATCTGCCATTTGAACTACGGTAAAGTAATTCATCTTAAGAATTAATCATTGTCATTAAACCAGCATCAATCATGATAGCCTCACAGTGAGAAATTCAAAGAAACTATTTGGTGTAAGCATTTTTTAAACCCATACATTGAAGTTTAACATATTCAGATGTACACTGTACATTTTTGTAATGCACATATATAATAAAACACAGAAAACAGTCGAAGTTACGTGTCATATTTGCTAAGCAAAAGAGATCATAAGGCACTTAAATAGTAACTGCACTCTCATCCACCAAGACTTGACAAAAAAGGTTTCAGAAAAAATTTAACCTAATTATAATACGCTTCCAAATGTTTCTCATCTTAAAACATATTAGGATTCATGAACTTGGAAAAAGATAGAATGGTTAAATTGAATGAAAGCACACCCAAACAACCCTGTACTGCCCCAAGAGAAAGGAAAGTAGTTATTTTAAATTTCCTTAGCTCACATCTGCCTTCTATCCATAGACTGAAGTTATCAAGTATAAAAGATATTATTAGATCATCATTGGATTGGTGATCTTACCTTCTCCACAATTTTCGCAAACCTCAGAGAGAAAGCCCAAGTCAAAAAAGTCTTTTCTAAGAAAATGTATATAATATGTGGTAAATTATTAAAATTTTGACTGTACATAAACATTTAAATGGTTTTGAGAAAAAATTAATTTAAAGCACACTATTGATATGTTCTTTACCCATAATCATATCTATAATTAAAATACAATCAGAGTCTCTGGCAAAATAAGAGTAAACTAAAACTATTTTGAATAAATGATTATGTTTTTAAAATAAAATGAAAAACTAAAAATTCTTAATAAAGTAATGAATTTTGTGATGGTTTCAAAATGTCTAAGTATGGCTATATGGACTTAGGTTTTCCTTCTTCTGACATGCAGGTCTTTTGGACCAGAGAGCAGTGGTCAGAAGCTGAACCTCCCCACAATGTGTCTCCTAAGGCATTAAAACAGCACTGATATGCTGTAGATGTAAACTTGCCCTTTGGAGGTGATGGTTTAGTTACTTCTCTAAGTGTATCTGCTTTTGTGCTGTCTGAGGGAAAGCAGCTTCCTTCACAAAACTCAAAGACTCTGAGGTCTTCATATTTTCCTCTCAGTCCACGGCAGCCATTGTTATCTTGCTCTGTGGCAATATGAAAAATACCTAAAGGTTTTCTGTATTTCACCCTGTCCAGATCTTCTGTGGATGTGAGCCAATTATTATGCACCTCTCAGTAGAAACAGACTCTTCTGGATGGAAAATAGAGAAAAGGGGAAAAGCCCCTCAAGAACAAGATGACTAGGAACAAAAACGTCACCTACTAAAAACAACTTAACAGGAAATTAAAACAGTGAGGAAAGGGGCCAAACACCCCACTCATTTAACATGGTATGAATCCATTTGTACAGGAAGAGAAGCCATAAATAAGGGGAAGAGTGAGATTTATTTTCATATTTTGTGGGGGAAAAGGCTCTCTGTTTTGACTACAATTTGTTAGATATCAGGCAAAATAAAATTCCCTTTAGGCAAAGAATATTTTGCCCTACTGAATTAAATATTCTGCCTTTCACTCAGCTCAGGCCATCTGTATTACAGAGCAAACTATAGTATTTACATGTTCAGTATAGAAAAGAATTCAATTGATGTTATGTCTTCACTTTGTTAGAATTAGGAAATAATGCAAAAATATAAGGTATCATATTTGATACTATTAAGAATTTCCTCACCAAGTAGTTGTGGTACACACAAGTAAACCAAGGATTGTGAGAGGCTGAGTCAGGAGGATCATAAGTAAAGGCCCAACCGGGGCAATGAAGTAATTTCATGAGACCCTATCTCAGATTAAATTTAAAGAGGTGGTCATGTGAAAGTGTACCACATGCATAGAGAGTTTCCACTCTTTATAAAGCGATAATCAAAGAAGATTTCCGGCCTCCAGCATTAACAGTACAACTATACACTAGCAATGCATCCCAGCCTTGCAGTGCACTCCAAGTATTCCGATGGCCTTTAGTAGGCAAAGGAAAAGTCCCAGATGTCATAAAATATTTTCATTGTTAGAATTTTACTAATTTCTTAGCAAATCATTTGGAAACATTGCTATGTAACATTTTCTTCAAAGGCCTTTCTGCCCATTTGGAGGGCCTTGCTACTCTAGGAACTCATTTTAATAGAAACAACACTTCCCTAATCAGAGGAATAATAATGCCTTCAGTTTCAGAGAAGTAAGCACAAATAAAACAGTTATAAAAATGTACAAAATGTACATCAGCCAGAATGAGCACATTTGCACAAAGTTCTTCTCAACACATCCAATCACCAGGATCAACATCATCTGTTACTATCAACACCACAGCGTGGTAAAACCATTTGCTCTCCTCTTCCCTTTCCCTTTACTTTTAAACCTTCTTACCTCTCTCCCTCCTTGTCCTGCTTCCAGTCTTTTCAAGTTTAAACCCTGAAAGAAAAAGCATACCTATATTATTGTTGAAAGAGAAGAAGTAATGTACAATCAGTGCTACTGCAAGGATGTTAAAGTAACTCATTCATATAAAAAACCTTCTGGCTATAGATAAATATCTCATCCTGTACACGTGTGTGTGTGTGTGTGTGTGTGTGTGTGTGTGTGTGCCCGCGCGCGCCCGCTCCTCTGTGTGTGTGAAAAGTAGGTCTTCTAGGAGAGGCTAATGCATTTCTTGACAACCTGAAGACCATATGTTAGATGGAAGTAAAATGCATCTGTTTCAGCAATGCTTGCCTGCTATTTGGTGAGACCCAGATGTAGAAGGTGCTGTCTAAGTGAGAAGCAGTGTAAGCAGTATGTGCCATGTTGGCAAACTGCTGCTCCTTCTCATCCCTCTTGCCACATCTGGGGGCTGAAACTTTGAGTGAGACTGATTAGAAACGGCAGCCAGGACAACACTTTGATCATCTAGAAAATATTCCAGAGTTTAGTTTTAAAACAAATGTTTCAAATATTCAAGATTTAATCCCAAGAAAGGGAATTTTCAGCTCCTGAAAATTATAGCTGCTTTTCATAAGAACTCCCTGATATACAGTCTATTTAATTAAAAAGAACAGTTGCTCTTGTTCTTAGGAAGGCAACTCCCAAACGTGACCCAGGGTGGGGACCATGGAGAGATCTATTTAACCCTATCTATCCATCTATCTATCATCTTTATCTATCTTTACTCAATTAATATTCTTTTCTAAAGCAATATAATACGGAAGAATGATTTATGCTTCTAACCCCAACACAAACTTCTATTCATCACTTTCTCTGTATCGTAGTGTTGTATCTTAATTAAAGTTACCTTACAGTACTTTATTCTTTTATTTTACCTTGCCTTTTTCTCACTTTTAATTCCCCACTTTCTTCTTCTTGCCCTTTTCTCCACTTTACAATACACACTTAGTACATGTTTGCTATGAGTCAGGCATCGTGGGTCGCGAACATAAAAATAGCAATGTAAAAGACAGCGGGAAACAGAGATAGTTTGCAAAAGGGAAGAGATCTAGAGATGCAAGGCATGGAAAGAGGGGATAAGGGAGAAAATAAAGAAATACCACAGGTTCAGTACTTGTACCTATTCACTGTGACGAATGCGACCATTATGTATTGCAAACAGTTACTAATAAAAAGTTAAAATAAATAAATAGTCCCTAAAATTTAGAAGGTCATTGATGTAAACGAACGTGAGGACAGGACTCAAGGAGAATGAGGTCAGGTGTATACAGTTTTGTCTGGCCGCAAGAATAGAGAGGCTAGTTCTGCCTGGGTGTGCAGACCACAAGGAGGACCACAGAGACAGTCACGTGTGAACGGCCTCAGAGGCTGGGAGGGAGCAGGGGAGGAAGGACCAGGAAGTACTGTGAAGGGGTAACAGCATAGCAACAATACAATCTTTGGTTGTTCAGAGACAATAATAGTACGTCATGAAGATTAAAGAAGTATAGCATTTAGTAAAGATCCAGGTATAATTTATATCAAAATGGCAATGATTACTTTCCCTTTCTTCTCATTTCCTTAAATTTACAATCATTATTACACATAGATAATATGTCTACACACAAGATTGACTTGAATAAAATATCCTTGGGTTTTTTCTTTTATTTAAAGAATATAAATCATGTAGAAAATGTAAGTAATAAATAATAAAGATATTCATATCAATCAGGCAAATTTAAAACATTATTCATACACTTTTTTGATTTGATACTTTCATGGCAACCTTCTCAAGTAAGTGTTGTTTGGAATGGCTGTCATTTCTGTAAACAGTCTTTCTTCTCCTTACTCCCTGTTAACTATTTCTGGAATTTAAACTAATGCTAAATTGCTTATTATCGCTCCACACATCACCGGCATTCTCTTTAATTTTGTGAAGTTTTCTTTTCTCTTGGTACTTGGCTTTCCCTGCCTTCTGTGGTTACATCTTCAAATTCATTGTTCTTTTATCCTATATGATCTAATCTGCTGCTAATCTCATTCTGTAGAATTTTATGTCATAATTTTATATTATATTTTCCTCATCATGTTTCATATTAATACTTATTACAATGCTTTGAACATCCTATCAACTACATGTCCTGTCATTTTTAGATCTGTTTCTATTGACTGAATTTTCTCCTGGTTCTAAAGCTCGCTTTTCTTTTTCTTGGTGTCCAATAATTTGTATTCATTTACAAATATTGTGAATTATATTTCGTTTAGCGCTACATGTTTTTGTATTCCCTTTGAGAACATTATAATTCACTCCCCTAGACACATAGCTCACTTGTTTGTCAGCCTGATTCAGCTGAAGCTTGCTTTTATGTATTTTCTTTTTCATTAGTACATGCTTGTAGCAGAATATTATTATAGTCATTGTGGGGAGTAGGTTCAAGAACATGACACATGCTAATTCTTTTTTCATTTTCCTCTTCTCTCATCTCTTTCCTCTCTCTCCAACTTTTGGTCCCTTTCCCTGTTGTAAATTTTGGATTTAAATATTTTGGAGGTCACAAAGCTGAAATAATGTTTAGAATTAATGCATCCCTGTTACTAAGCTTGACCCTTCTGTGCTGTCTTAGTACTCCATATATTTCCTCGATGTCCACTGCACTGGCTGATGGGAATCCACCAGAATCCGGGGCCTGACAGAAGCGTTGGAACATATCTACTTTAATAATATAATTTCTACAAAAACTTATGTTAAAACATTCAGAGAGAAAGAACTCTTTTAATTGTATTCATTGAGACAATCTGACTCTCAGAGAGAGTTAAAGAAAAACATGAGCAGTAATATTATTCACATATGTAATACATGTGTGTATTTATCTAAGTGGATTGACCATTAAAGCTAATATGGAAGACAAGGAGATAGGCCTTTTAAATGGGAAGGCAATAACGAGATAGAGGGAAGGGAAGGGATCATAAAAAAGTTAAGGTGTGTTATGTTCATGTATCAATGCAATCATTATATGCTGAAAACATGCTAATATAAATAAAAAATAAAAGATTCTCTAGATTCTAATTGATTTAAAATGAACTTCTTTATTCTTTAACAGTACAGATATAATATCTTCCCAGCATATTTAGAGAAAATCACAATTAAAAATAACTGGGGGACATGTTTGGGAAGAATATATTTCCATCACTGTACGTATTTTCTCACAAGAGATTATAAACTCTGCATTGGTCAAAATTAATTACCTGAGACCAAACCAAAATGTTATAAATTGTAGGTAGGAAAAAAATTACCCTGCAGCAAAATGTTCTGCAGCATACTAAATTAAGATGGCTTAGTAAAGCATTAAGAGGGAAAAGCTATTAGCTGAAAAATAGGATTTCCTACAAAAAATCTTTGCTGTGTGCAGCCTCCTGCATGAATAACCTCAGCAACTGTTGGCATAAGAGGTCATTTCTGCCAAAAAATATATGCATGTAGGGAAAGATCTTCCCCTTCATAATGATTACAACCTGTTCCAAAATTGTTATCTTGTAAGAAGTTCCCCTACTATTAAAAATAAATGCCAGAAATACATTACCCAGCATCTTTAGATTAAATGATTAATTTTTCTAATATATAATAATATAAAATGGAGAGATGGAATAGACATTTTATTTCCAATGCTGCAGAGATTTTTTGTGATAATTTTTCTTAAAATATAGAAATATAACTGTAAAATCATAATTAATTATTAAAATGCTTCAGATAACTTTGTAACTTTTGAACATTTAGCCTTAGCTATGGAGTCCCAGAAAACTGCTACAAGCAACTTTAAATAACTTGTAGTTCAACCTCTATAGAAGGGGTGCTTCACAGCCTGGGAACTTGATTTATATTAAATGACAATTTCAAAACTCAAACTCTGGCAGTTGGGTCACAAAGTGAGGAATATTATGTTTAACCAAATTCTTTTAGTGGTTCCATCAGTGTTTTAAAAGTTGTATAATGTATGGAGCATTCCTTAACCATTTCATTTGCCACATTCCACTGCTGCAAAAGTGAAATATTTTAGGAGTACATGAGAGAATCCATAGAGAGAACACCACAGTGCCTATTCCACGGAGAACAGAAGTCATAAGCAGCTTCATTTGTTACTGGGGTTAGCATTATCCAGATGAAACTCATTACCACAACAGTTTCAAAAAATGATGATTTTTTTGCAATTTTCTCTGTGAACCAAGCACTATTCTATGCATTTTACCCATCTTTTAATACCTTATTGTGAGTTGTGCTGAAATAAAAATGATTTTTTTCTGGTTTTTTTTTTTGTTGTTGTTGTTGTTGTTGTTTTTTGTTTTGAGACAGGGTCTCACTATGTAGTTGAGACTGACCTGGAACTCACTATGTAGCACAGGCTGGTCTTGAATTCACAGCGATCCTCCTGCCTCATCCTCCCGAGTGCTTTGATTACAGGAGTGAGCCACCATACCTAGTTCTACTTTGTTTTTGAACTAATTTCTTTTAACAAACTAAGATACACCAACGTATCAGTTCTTGCCATTGTCAGTTTCACACTGTAGTTATGGGATATGGTCCAACAGAATGACAGGAATGTCTCTAAAATACACAGGCCTCAGCGTTACCACTGCATTTATTCTTAAATGGCAACATCATTTGGGGGAGAAAATATACCCTTAGAGGATGAAGCTAAAGGTCAGTTCCCTCGGTTTACCAATCATAGAAATGATGGCGAGGAGGGGATAGAATATAGAGAGCTGGAAAAGCGTGAGCTCTGCAGAGTTTAAAATATAAACTCTGTGCTGTGCTTACGTATTAAGACAGGCTACTGGCTCCCTTACTAGTTCTTGATATGAATCTTTATATAGCATGGCTTCTCCATGAAACTACTCAAACAGTTGAGAAATTACAACAAAGTTAAAAGCAGCTACCTACTGTTAATCTTATTTGGTCTCTAAATTCAAGTTTTTAAATGTAGACATCTACCTTTTCCCTCTCTGATTGCTGGGCA